TCTCTCTCTCTCTCTCTCTCTCTCTCTCTCTCTCTCTCTCTCTCTCTCTCTCTCTAATTTATTTATTTTTTAATTCTTTGTCAGAGAAAATAAGCATAGATTGTGATTTAAAATATAATATATAGAACCTATTTTCTCTAAATCATCAATCTAATAGTCATGTTGCTTTTTAATACCATTAGTTTGTTAGCATTTGACAATGAGCTTCTTGCCATAAATATGACACTCCATATATAGAAGAGGAGATTATTTTCCATTCTGTTGTATTTTTTTTTATCATTGTTCTAAAAAATGTAAAATGTGACTAAACTTGGAAGCTAAGCTTCAAGCTTTACGAGCATAGGCAAGTCTTGGCGAGACCTGTGTTAAAAAAAGTTTTCTTATTTTTAAAATTATTTTAAATTTTTAATCATTCTAAACTCAGTTATTAATTAAAATAATATATATACCAAATATCTAAAATTATAAAATATTATATTTACTTAATAATTTCTAAAATTAGTCAATTATACAATTTTCAAATTTTCGAAATACAAAAGGTAGACTATTTTTTATAGTTTCAACTTTCAACTAGACAACTCTTATTTAAAATTTTCTAACGTATTTCCATTTTTTTCTTTGTACTAATAAAGTTATTTAAAATTTTGAAATAAAATAAAAGCATTTAAATAAAAAAAATTAAATAAAACACCACAAGGTGCTCATTTCAAGACGTGACATTTCACCCAAGCCTCGTGCCTACACGGCGCAACTTAAGTGGGCTTCTTAGAACATTGTTTTTTATGAATGAGAGCAGCAAAATACTATTCTTATTGTTTGAGTTTACGGAAGAATTAATCCTATCGTATTTACATAAGAGCATATGCAAACATGGATGATTAACATAAGAAATTCTCAATATATCACATATTCTCGTTTTTGCCATAGAAAAAATACCCTTTAGATAAAAAGAGAAGATTATTTCCCTTCACAGAATACTTTCTATGAATGAGAGTCACGGGAAATTATTCTTATTTTTTGAGGTCATGAACGAACTAAACATATTGCATTGACATAGATAGAATGTTCCAAGCGTGGATGTTCATCATAAGAAATTCCAAATATATCATAAGATTCTTATTCTTGAAAATTCATACTTTTCTAAACCCATAAATCAGATGGAATTCTAGCAATATATCAGGACATAATTTGATTTATTAGACAACGTTTGGTCGGTAAACGAGGATAATACAAGATACATTGCTTGATAGACTTCATTCTCAGTATTGCTAAACAATGAATATTATCAGGAGTTTGTACAAACACAATATTACTATGAACTTCTAGCAATATATCAAGACATAATTTGATTTATTAGACAACGTTTGGTTGGTAGACGAGGATAATACAAGATACATTCCTTGATAGACTTAATTCTCAGTACTGCTAAACAATGAAAATTATCAGGAGTTTGTACAAACACAATATTACTGTGAACTTTGACAATTCTTGATAGTGTCTCAAGGGAGATGCTCAAACTTGCATGAATCATGACCTGCCATTGGTAACAAATACGTTAATTTCAGAACATTTTATGTTCTCATCACCAACTATAATATATACACAGAAAAAATATCAGTACAGCCAACTTAATTTTATGATGTTTTACCATCAAATATTAGCCCAAAACGTCGTCTACTATTGAATTTGCAGTTGAATAAATTTCTAAATTGCAGTAACTCCTATCAGGCAGTATAAATGAGGGAGT